ATGTCTAGAAAGGCAGCTACGACATAATCACCATTGTCCAAGGAGAGCATCCAGTCGTTGATCACGGGAGTGAGCAAGTCCTCGCAGGAGTGGCCTCTGCGGTAGGCAAATTGCTCAGCAGGTAGGGGTAACAGTGGTGGTGGTGCATTATAGATATAGTACATTAGTTGGTCGTGTACAATATGTTCCAGTAGCTTAGACATGTGGGACAGGAGTGATATTGGTCTATAGTTGGATGGGACTGACTTATCTCCACGCTTGTAGATAGGCCGCACGTTTGCTAGTTTGTATGTCGATGGAAAATCTCCAGACGTAAGAGACTTGGTAAATAGTTTGGCTAAAGATGGGGCGATCTCATCTTTGATGAGCTTGTAGGCCTGGGCGGGGATGTTATCAGGTCCTGTGGCTTTACGACTGTTCATTCTCTGGATATGGAGTTGGACTTGTGGAACAGTGACTGGTGTGAACTGTGTCAGGGAGTATTCCGATACAGGGCCATTAGGAGTGCGTAGTGTACTGCCAGAAAGTGATGTATCGTTGACAACGTCTGTAAATGTCTTTGTGATGTCGGCTACTTCGGCAGCAGGTTCCTGGTTGATTTTAATTCTACCCAGTAGATTGTTCATGACACTCCATTGCTCTCTTGGGTGGTTTCGATGATTGATTAGTTGTTGCTGGAAGTATGTAGACCGTTTCTTCCTAGTTAAAAGTTTACATTGTCTTCGTAGAGTTCGGAATTGTTGCAGCAGGTCTGAGCGATCAGGACGTTTTATCATTGCACGGTGTGCTCGTTTACGCTTGAATAAAGTCTGCCGGAGCTCGTCGTCTACCCAAGGCGATGGAGTATAGCTCTTCTTGGCGTTAACAGTCTTTAGTGGGCAGTACTCATTCAATGCATCACTGACTGCATCCTGCCAGTGTTCAGTATAACTGTCTAGAGACATCTGTGATGAACTGCATGTGATCTGCTGGTGGAGAGTAGACATATGTTTAGCAGCTGTCTCTTGGAATTGCTTAATCTTCAACGTACGCAGCGGTGGCTTTCGTACTTGTACCTGTCTGTTTGTCTTGAGCGTGCTGGTGGTAGCATGGATATTGTAGTTCACACAAACAAGTTGGTGATCGGAAAGATCACATGGAATAACATTGCAGTCTTTGTAAATCAGTTCATCCCTGCCTGGTCTCGCAGTAGACGTGGTGGAGGAAGAGCTTGAGATCAGTGCTAGGTCTATGGTTGTTGCACTAGGGAATCTAGTTGGTGACGTGACAACGTTTCGGAGATCAAAATCATGGCAGAATGTTCGTAGGTGAGGGTAATGTGCGTGACTAGGGTCTTGGACATTGACATTGAAATCGCCTAGAATTATGCACGCAGAGGAGGCCGGTGTACAATCCAGTATGTCATCAGTTAGGCTAGATAAGGTTTGCCAAAATGCTACAGGTACTGTTGGAGCTCTATATGCACAGAGGATAGTGAGAGGCTGGGGGTGAATGTTCACGTGTACTGCAAGGGCTTCAATGGGAGAGGAGTGATGTAGTGCTCGATTACCGAAGCATTCTCTCACGTATATACTGACACCACCTCCTCTCTTTGAGTTCCGATCAAGTCTATGCATGGTGTATCCAGGTACTGTAATACATATGTCAGGTACACTGTCGGATAGCCACGTTTCCGTTAACGTTAATATGTCTAAAAGCAGCACACCTTCCCATCGTCACCGCAGTTTTCACCATTCGCCCATCTGCAAGTTCTCGCCCGCAGGCAACGGTCATACGTTGACCGCAGAATCATGGAGGCACTATTCATGAGGAAGAGGAAGCCGGCAGTGAACAGTGACAATGGTTGGCGACTGTTGGGTGATGTGTAAATATGTCTGTCATTACCATAATTTGTGCAAGAATGTGTGCACTGTGTGTGTGTGTATGTATGTGTGTGAGTGTTGCTAGAAGTGTGTATTGTTCTGCTTTGTACTCACGCTAGTAATCCTGCACTATCACTGCACTATATTTTCACTTCATACATATCACACAGAATTATAATCTCGCTTCCTGTGGTATTGCTATACCATCACACTTTGGCCACTAGTACTTGTCACATATATATAAACCCCTGTTCTGTCTACAGTAAACATATTCCTGATGATGGGCCTTGCCCGAAAATTTGAGCTAATGTATATCAATTGCAGTGTAGCCTAGAGACCGTTAGAGAGAGTGTGTACAAGGTGTGTGTACAGGATGTATGGATGTTCCCAATACGGTTCAAATGGTCGCAAGACCGGGACTCTGCCAACCGGTTTATGGTTGTACTTGTAGTCAGGAGCACTACGCGTCCTCGCCTTGTTAGGCTGTGTTTACATGAGAAATTTCAACCCGGGTCGAGTTCAGCCCGGGTTGGAAGTCTGTACGACAAACAAAAGAGGTGAGCGTTTACATGAAGACAGTTGACCCGGGTCAAATACTGATATGCCGCCAAAAGTCCACTTCTACAGTCCTGCATGGTCACGTGAATCCGTTCGCGCGAAATTTGCATCTGCAGTGCTGTTCAAACCTGGCGCGAGATACGCACAGAAGTACGTTTGTACGATTTTCTTGACCCGGGTTGATTTCAACCCGGCCCTTGGGGGGAGGGTTGAAATCAACCCGGGGCGAAATTTCAACCCGGGTCAAGCGCAATGCGTCATGTGTAAACGCGCCATTCACTTTGTGCACATGGCGGTTTGAAATCTGACCCGGGTCGAACTCAACCCGGGTTGAAACGCTTCATGTAAACACAGCCTAACTAAGTAGTTGTAACATCAGGGCTCACAGTAGGCATGCAGGATCGACAAAAGCGTCGTGCGAGGGCGGGTTTGGTGCACGTGAGTCGCGTGACCCCGGGAGAGTACCGATCGTGTACATCCCACGCATCCAAAACAGAACAGAAAAGAGAAAGAACCCGAGTTGTACTTGTACCATGTGTACTGTTCTCGTAGTTTTAGAGCCGATGTTCGCGATATTTTGAAGGAAAAGGCGAAACGCAACCTGTGCTAGTCCCAGTAAAAACAACATGCCATGTTCGACCAAGAGCTGATCCTACAATGAGCGATCGTGATGATTCCACAGGTAAGAAGACAAACAAACGAGTCAGAGCTCGCCAGGCAGGTAACGCCGAGAACATGATGATACCACACGGAGCTGGTGATCGGATGGAGGTGAACGGGACCAGCAAATCCACAGGGCGTTTGTCGAGGGCCACTGAAGACCAGGTTTCCCAGGGTGCCAGTTCCTCCATGATGGCGAAATGCGCTGCCACAAGAACTCCAGCGAGAATAAAAGCACAGCAACCAACGCCGCGGGCGAACTGAGGAGAGAACACTGAACAATCTGTGCACAATGATTTTCTCTTCGACGGCACGCGTTGCTGTTCTGCTGCATGCATGCGTTTTTCTTGTTGTTTGATCTTCACACATTTTCGCGGTTGCGCGCCGCTAGGACTCGGGGTTACTAAAATTAGTACAGAGCATCTCCCCTTTGGTCGATTTGGACAATCAATGGCTCAAAATTTTCAGGAGACCCTGGCAAAGAAATTTACCGAGACGTTTTTGGATATTCCTTTCGAATGCTGTACTATATCTCACGAAGTTTACGCATATGCTCTGGCATACCCGTGTGAGTAATGAAAATTTGTTTCGGTAAATCTTTTGGAACACCTGTCATCTGTGCCTGGGCCAAGTCTAAGCTTCGTAGAACCAGGCTGAAGTGCTGCTAACTCCTTCAAACACCCCCTACTTCGAGCAAAAATGCGACGAAATGCTGACTGCTGATTGGCCAAGCTGGCATTTTGGAGCACGTGCACCGCCCCCATCTAATCGACGCTTTTCTACGCAACTGTGAGCCCTGAACATGAAAAGTTATGTTGTGTTGTTAGTACTCTTGTACGTAGAATCTACGTGTAGGGCTCCCTGGCCTGGGCGCGATCAACCCCAAACAAAAACAGAGCAGGAAAAGGCCACGTGATACGTGTGGTAGATCTGCTCTGAGCAGATCTACCACACGTATCACGTGGCCTTTTCAGCGAGTCAGCGTCATGACGTCAGCGTGAGCGAATGACTTCGCTTGTTGCACGTTGAAGTGAAACATGTGACGAGCGGGACGTCTCCAGAAACTCTTGTCAATGTCAGTCTTGATATCATCAAGAGTCCATTAGGCCGTCATCACACCACGTTCTCCGACTCCCGTTTACGTCTACGTCTATGGTGAAAAAACCAAAACGGGTGGTCGTGTCATCAGATAGGCACAGTTCTTGACGCGTACACGCAGTCAGGTTTTGTGAAGAAATTTGAACCCACGTACATCGAAGTACAGGGTCGATCGGAAAAAGGCTGGGGGAGATACGCACGTTCATACAAAAAGTCGTATACCCCCCCTCTCCATACCACGTCCACGTCTCCCGTTTCCTCTGCTCCCGTTTTCACCCCGTATACGGATCATCATGACAACCGACCAAAAACTCCTTACGTGGACGTAGACGCAGCGCTTTGTACCATGGTGTGATGACAGCCTAACCCCCGGGGGGTGGTTATGGACTCTTGATATCATCAAGAGTCCAACACTCTTGATATCATGTATGAGCTATAAATTAAAAGTACTTGTAGCTGTGCATGCATGTTACCAAGAGTAGATAAACAAGAGTGTGCAACTCCGGATCTCTCCTGCACAATCTGCAGATACCGCGCGCCCACGGCGGAATTTTTTGTTTACGTCACCTTTTTTCAGAGAAACGCGGCTTTGCCGCAGAGCAGTGTGAGAGCACGTGCTGGGCACCGACCTTGTAGTGTAAAGCCCAGCCAAGTGCACGAGGGAAAACTCTCCAAAAGGCTCGCAGCGCGTGCGTCGTCGAAAAGATTACGTCAACAAAAAATTCCGCCGTGGGCCAATCCATCCGGAGTTGCACACTCTTGTTTATCTACTCTTGATGTTACTTTTGTAATCCTGCCTTCTCGGACAATAAAATAATTTGGCAGAGCTGGGCATGGCCCATGGGATCGAGTGGCCAGAACTACACAACGTGATTTTAGTTAGTTAGTTTGAAATTTTCAGGAGTGATAACTTGTGGCTGCAGCTATGGGTAGATCTAGAGTCTCCGGATCCCTTCTGTTCGCCCTACTGGTTGGGTGCGTCTCCCTGAAACAGGCAACGGCAGTTGTGGAAGCAGACGAAGTGAAGAGTTTCCCTGGGTATGGCGCACCCCCTACGAAGCATTATAGTGGGTACATCACAATTAAAGAAAGTACACACCGACGATTGCATTATTTGTATGTGGAGAGTGTTCATCCCAAGACTGATCCACTGGTGGTATGGTTGCAAGGAGGACCTGGATGCAGTTCCCTGATGGGGTATTTCACAGAGAACGGCCCCCTGTATGTACACCCAGATGGCAAAACCCTTTACCAGAATCCAAACTCCTGGAATTTAGTTGCAAACATGCTGTATATCGAAGCTCCAGCGGGAGTTGGCTTCAGCTCTTCTGACTCCAAGATGGATTACGCAACGAACGATAGTCGGACGGCCGATGACAATCTGAAATTTCTGCTGGGTTTCTTTGAAGCATATCCAGAGTTGAGAAGTCGTGATTTCTACATTAGTGGGGAATCATATGCTGGCATCTACATTCCAACGCTATCGTACGACATCCTAAAGCACAACGAGCAGGCTTCGGCTCAGGAGAAAATCAACCTGCAGGGCATACTGGTCGGCAATGGCTGCATTGGCGCCAAGGTCGGCGTTTGTGGACCAGAGCACGCGCTGGGTTACGCTGTGCCCTTCCTCTATGCCCACGGTCTTATTAGCATGAAGGCATGGAACGTCATCAGGGAGAAGTGTGGTGCATCAAAGATCATAAACACCACCGCATGTGGCCAAGCCGTACAGAGTGCAATGGCAACGACCGGTCCCGTGAACTCGCTAGATATCTACGGTAATTGCTCGGATGCCACTCGCCGATCTGCGGAGCCACGTTTCTGGGTCGGATCACGGGAACGACTGGGTGCAGAAGTTCACGAATGCATTGGCGGTTTGAACGTTGAAGCCTATCTGCGAACTCCAGAGGTTATGGACGCCTTGCATGTGACCGAGCCGAAGTTTGCAGGCCCCTGGTCCATGTGCAGCCCCTTCATCGAGATGATGTATACTCGCTCGGTTGCGTCACTACTTGACACTGTCTATCCGGCGCTGATCTCGCACTACCGTGTTCTTATTTTCAATGGTGATGCCGACGCAGTCGTGCCATACACCGATAATGAACAGTGGACCAGCGGCATGGGGTACAAGGAGGTGGCACCCTTCCAGGCATGGTTGGTGGACGGTCAGGTCGCTGGCTACATTACCAGGTACGAGAATGACTTCTCTTTCGCCACTGTAAAGGGAGCTGGCCACATGGTGCCCCAGTTCAAGCCAAAGGCAGCACTGGCATTGCTCACAAACTTCTTGTCCAACAAATGATGAAATAGTCCACGCATTTTACTAGAGGAATTGTAATTTAATTATTATTCCCGTAGCTATGCAGAAGACGTTACTTCAGTAACGTCTGGCGCTAGCCAGGGTCCACACAGCTTTAATTTGGTGTTTGTTTGTGTGTTTGTTTGTTTGTGTCACGCCTGGCGCTATCCGTATCTGACGGCAAAAAAGCATAGGATGTTATAAATTTTTCAATTCTCCTTTTTTTCAGGCATATCCTGGGATTCGAACCCGCACTATCGCCCTACATGCATTCCCCCATACACTTCGCATTCATACCCATTCTTCCAAGTTGCGTTACGTTATTATCTTGCTTTTGAAAGCCCTATTTGAATATTGCGGGAAGCTGTATGTGGCCAGCTGTGTTTGATGGTACGGTACGGTACGGGAGACGGTGTCGTATTACCCTCGATCGTACCTGTCCCGTACCTATCCCCTACCGTACCGTGCCATCAAAGACGGCTGGCCACAATGCATATAACTCAAATAGGGCTTTCAAATGCAAGATCACAATGTGAAACAACTTGGAAGAATTAGTATGTATGCGAAGTGCATCGGGGGATGAATGCAGGGCGCGCGATAGTGCGGGTTCGAATCCCAGGTTATGTCTAAATAAAAGGAATTTTTGAAAGAATTTATAACATCCCTATGCTTTTTTTTTGTCTAGGTCATCAAGGCAAAAAAGCATAGCGTAGGGCCCTGAGCTTCCAAGCTCTCTCGTTTCATGAAGTCACTGGTCTGTCTTTCTCCTCTAAGGATTTATGAGCATCCAATGCACATTGAATATATTCATCTACTTTTAGTTTGGCTATGATGCATATTAGCTGTGCCATCAACAAGGGAGAGCACAGAGAGACCGAAATGGTTGACAAAATCATATTTTCTATTGCGAAGCGTGTGAAAATCCCGGCAGGAGAATATCCGTCATTTGCACATAACGGATGTCCTGAACAACTGCTCAACACACTAGTTGGCATGAGTATCCAACCAAACCTGAGGATACTGTCTGATTGGCCCGGCGGTAGTGCCGTGTACTGTTGCTGCCCGTACCAGCAAAGGACAAGAGCAGGCCCGGCGGAACCGGTCCGGTTCGTCAGGCCACGCCCGGACCAACATGTTGGCCACCAACGGGTGTTAAACAAACTGTATGAAAGGCTATGGCGTGGCCGGACCAATCAAAAACTGCTTCCGCCGGTCCTGAAGAGTTGGAGAAGTTGTCGTCACGTAAAGTCAATGATTATTGTCTAGGAGACGTACTTTGCCCTCCAGTCAAGTCTTGTTTTCACTACGATGCATACGTTCATAGCGGTGAGTCGTAAAATGCGGTATTTTACGACTCCCTCGTTCCCGGTGCTGAAAAATGTTCTACCAACCCTCTTCTACTCTTCAGCACCTGCACGCACGTACATGTATCAAACCACATGGCCCACTGTTGTTGTTTTTTTGTCAGGCCGCCAAACACACCCACCGGTGCACCCAGGACTAACAGTGAACAAAACTTCACTATCAAGATCAGCCGAGTCGCAAACAATAGCAACGTCATCCACATGTCAGGGGAGGATCCGGGGGGAGGGGGGCGAAAGGTGCCCGTGCACCCTTCATAGGTCGCATGCGCTCTGCACAGCATGCATTCTGAAACAGGAGCCAACAAAAAATCCACCGTGAACCAGACCAGCTGCGGAGTTGCACACTCTTCTTTGAATATTGCTCCTGCCAGCTTCCAGGGTGCTCTGCCTTCCACTCCCCACGCTGCAAGGCACTTTACCTCCTCAACCCCCCCCCCCTTCCCCGGAGCGCAACTTTGAGACCCTGCACCATATCCACCCGGGTGCCAGTGCACCTGAATCTGCTGGATGAAGGTGAAGCAGAGCAAAACATACTAGTTTTGGCCGTCTCCAAAATACAACAAAATTCGAAAAACAAATTCTAGAGCAACAAGAACACGAAAGACAATGTGGAATGTGCCAGCACATCATGGCAAAGCAATTATGATACTGTACGCCGGGTAGAGAGGATTCGTAGCAAACATGGTACGGGAAATAAATTACACCGGGCTACATTCTATACTAGTATTCTAGAATCAAGTTTGTGTTTCTCAAATGATGCTCAGATGCTTTTGGACATCATGACTATGTTCTTTTTGTCGCAATCGCGGCCAGTACTATACACTAGCTGTTGGATGACTTGTAACACTCTCAATACTCGGGGGGGGGGGGGGGGGGACTGCTGAAATACACGCGTGTGGACTGCAGCATCCTCGATCTTTGCTAGCTCTCAGTTTTCATTGTACTGCCGACTGAGAAAACCTCTTCAACTGAAAACGCTTCGGGAAGCATGACTGAACTGTATGCTGAGCGCATGGAACGAAGAGGCACATACAACGTGGATGCTGCTGCACTTGCAATGAAGCCAGCCAGCCAGCAATGCCCTCATCTGCAGAGACAAAGACATCGCTGCGTGCCAACTACCGGCGGGACCGTGACAAGCACGGCTCGGCCTACTGAGATACATCATAGCTGAGGTATTAGCCCCTGGTCGATTTTGTTCTTCTTCAAAATCTGGTTGACCTGGTACTCGGTTTCCTGGTCAAAGTTTGCCAGGCGAAGGTCAAGATCTGTTATGATCGGATTGGACGCCAGGCTCTCCACGATTGATTTGCCATGGTCCGTCTTGAAACTGTTGCATGACAAATCGAACTTCTTCAACACCTTGTTGAGCTCGAGTACTTCACGTAGCGGTGCGGTGCAGTGTTCACCGCAGCCAGTTGCAGCCAAACATACCTCCTCCAGACCGCGATTGACTGCCAGAGATTTCAGCACAACTCCCATTTTGTCATCACCGATGCTATTCAGCCGGAGGGACAGCTTTTTCATGTGAACATTCCTCTCCAGCATGGAAGCCAGTATATTGGCAGCCTCTTCGTTTAGCTTGTTGTCAGCCAGGATCAGTGTCGTCAGCCGTAGAGGAATGTTGGGATCCATCAGCTTCACAATGGCCTTGCCGCCTGGGTCTCCAATTTTGTTGAACGACAAATCTAGTGTTTGCAACGCGGTGTGAGTTTTGATGTGCTTAGCAAGAACGCGTGCCTGGTGGTCATCCAATAGGCTCTTAGCTATGCGCAGCTCCGTTAGCTGTGTGCAGCGCAGAGCACCTTTGGCCAGAACCCTGCAGTCGTGACGTGTGAACTTAAACAGAGACCAGTCAAAGTTCATGCCAACATTCTGCACTTGGTAGACAACACTAAGTTTCTTGAGCCTGGGCAGACACTTCAGCGCCGCGCCGAAGTCAAAATGGTCCAGCTTGACCTCATCGTCTGGCAAGTCGTCTTCTTCTTCGCTTGCACTGCCATTGTCCTGTTCCTCATCAGGAGCACTGCCCAGCTTACCATCGGTCAGGGGCACCACTTTGCTCCGGGCATGCCTCTTCTTTCTCGTTCTCTCGCCCGACACTTTCTTGACAGGCGGCAGAAGCTGCTTGATGTGGAGTGACTCTACGTATTCGGCGCACAGGGACAGCAGCTGCTGCATGCGTCGCATACGCGCTGGGTCCTCGCGTACTTCGGGCAGGAACGTCTCCAGGTAGTGCGCTACATGCTTCTCCAGATACATGCGCTTGTAGTTGCCACCGTGATTCGCAACGTCGCAACAGGGCCACAACTGTCTGCAGCAGCGTTTCCAATAGGACTCTTCGTGTTTCCCATAGCCAATCACTGCTACGATTACTTCCACAGGCAAATCTGTTGGAAGGTAGTGCAATACAAACCGCTGATCCAGGGCATTCAACTCCCGTAGCAACGGGCGAGTCCCAAAATTCTTGATGATCGCCTTCAGAATGCACTGCCGCAGAGTGGGCACGTTGGACAGCGTCCACTCGTTGTCCTCCGCTATCACTCGGCGCACTCGTTTACGATCTGAGCGAGCATGAGCGCCAGCACTGCTCTGACCGGCAGCCGGGCTCTCGCCTACAGTGGCCATGGCGATATGCAGCGGTGTGTCGTGGCTACTGTTGGTAGTAATGTTACTTATCAAGGGCAAGTCGTCGTAAGAATTACTGGCATACGGGGTCCAGGACGAATTATTGGCTTCGGCCCCCCAGTTGCCAGACTGACCCGCAACCTTTCGGCTTTCGGGCCCGCCTTCGAGCGTTAGCACCTACTAACAACTGATTAGAGCTTCACATCATTCGCAACGCCACCAAAGCCAGTATTTGCTGTGCAGACGACCATACAATATTGCAAACAAGAACTTTTGAAGTAGTGACCAGAGCCAGAGGTGACGGGAATCGGGAATGCAAGTGATTTTCACAGAACTCCAATCATTCGTTTTCAAATCCTGACAAACAAAGTCGCTTGATATCTCATTATCAATGTCATGCATGCATGATGCATGATGCAGCGAGCTAGCTAGCTCAGTACAGTCTGAGTTAGTCAAGTCTGGCTCCGCGGCCGCTTCCTAGCTTTCCTTTTTTTTGCAGTGCTTGGTTACCACTGGTTACTGGTGCGACGAACGTAACGGGTGGCAACTGCCTCCGGACGTAGTGATGAGCGCGCGGTGCGTCGATCTACAAATCATGCCTTTCAAGTATTATGGTTGATAAATATGGCGGTAAACACACGCCTGCCCACACACGCTCTCTAGGCTGCAAAGTTCTGGCACAGAGCTCTCCTTCTCACCACCACCAGGCACCACCATCAGTTCGCGCCTGGCGCCTGGTCGATGCATGGTTGGCGGTATCCGGCATAGCAGGCTGGTACATCAAGTAGCGCATGGCACATAGAAGATGACACAGCAACGACATAGCTCGATTGCGATGTACGTTTCGTCCCCGCTGGACTCATCAGGCAATCTTCTTCTTGGATGTCTTCACACGGAGCTTGACTCGGGAGAATAAAGATATATTGCCAGGTGTGTCTTTACCACCATATTTATCAACCATAAGTACAGCTGCAGTGGTGTCTTCAACTTTATTCTCCCGAGTCAAGCTCCGTGTGAAGACATCCAAGAAGAAGATTGCCTGATGAGTCCAGCGGGGACGAAACGTACATCGCAATCGAGCTATGTCGTTGCTGTGTCATCTTCTATGTGCCATGCGCTACTTGATGTACCAGCCTGCTATGCCGGATACCGCCAACCATGCATCGACCAGGTGCCAGGCGCGAACTGATGGTGGTGGTGGTGAGAAGGAGAGCTCTGTGCCAGAACTTTGCAGCCTAGAGAGCGTGTGTGGGCAGGCGTGTGTTTACCGCCATATTGCCAGGTGTGTCTTTACCACCATATTTATCAACCATAACTTCATAAGTACAGCTGCAGTGGTGTCTTCAACTAACTTTATTCTTTCAAGTATTAGTTTCAAATACTGAAGTAATTCAAGTAACTGTAGTGTCATGGTCATGACTCATGGGCCTGATGGCGTGATGCAGATGAAAGGCTAGGCAGTACAGTGCCAGTGGCCGGGTAGTAGTCGCCAGCCGGCCTAGCGGGCGCCATGGTCAACCGAGGGCGGCTTTCGATGGGTCGACGGGGCCGGGGCGGCAGTTTCGAGGCTTGGGAATTCCCTAAATCCTTCTTCATGGGGACATCGGCTGGAGACGTCGAGCGGCACTAGAAATAGTGGGCATGGATATGCCGGGGTTCGAAGCTAGAGCAGATCTATGAAGCATAATCGAGCTCGAGGCACCAATAACCGACATGTTATGTCACTTGACCAAGTCAGAATCAAGCACAGCACAGACAGCCTGCTTTCCACCGAGAAGCTCACCTGGTCAGGAACCACGGTCCGAAGGCGAAGAGCTGCATAGCGTGCAGTAGGCTACCTATCCGAGACGGTTCGAGGACCAGGTTTTGCAGTGCAGACAGACTAGGTCGCCATCTGGTAAATCTACACTGCATAACTGGGTGGTGGCAGCCTCGTTGGTTCATCGCTCAGACATTTCCCATCTGCGAGCTCACGAAAAATGAAGACGACGTTCATTGTTTCCTTGGTGTTTTTAGTCTTGCAATCGACTGCCTACAGAATACCTCCAGCGGAACGTGCCTACACTAGAGCAGTCCGGCCCAACCATGCCACCACCGCCACCTCCACTAATGGCTACTGTTTCATCCCTCCACTGCCAGTGCAGCTAGCCGAGGGCAGTTTGACGGCTGTCCTCGCTGCGCTCGAGGGAAACATCTCAAGGTGAGGAGACCAGTCCACTGTTCACTTCTACACCAGTATTGGTATCATTGATTTACGGCCTTGTATTGAACTGTCGACGTTGCCGCTAAGTTCACTGAAGTAACGTTAGTTTCCAACATGTGAGGCTAGATTTTGGTGCACTACTTGCAGCAATGCTGGTGTGTCGGGTTATGCGAATGTGCTTGGAACTGGCATCCAGCTGATGGTCTCTGGTGATGGGTGTTGTGTTGTCGGCTGCTGTCGCTCTGCAGTGTATGGGCATCTTCTAATCCCGCAGGTGTTCCTGGAAGCCTATCAGTCAACTTGATCTATGACCAAGATGTGATTTGGAGCAAGGGTTTTGGCGAGAAGAACCATTCCAGTAGGTCATGCGTGTCTTGTGGAAGTCCGATTGCAGGTGTGGGCACAGGGCATGGGCAACTACTCCATTGGACTTGGAACTGGATGTGTTCAGTCTCCAATGTGATCACGTAACTAACTTTCCGACTGAGACTACTACTGTACTGTAGACTAGTCAGTGCGGCATTGCTAGTGCCGTAGTGGAGCTTGAAAAGACCTAACTGAAATGATCACAGTAAGCCGCAAGGTACATTGTACAGTGCGTATCGGTTATAGCGTGGTCGTGTAAAAGAATATACTGCCTGCAAGAATGAACTCTCATGTTTTCATAATCATATTTATTTATTTATTTATTCAACATCTCCTGGCCCGTCCGAAGACTGCCAATAAACATGAGAGGTCAGGTGATAGCCAACCACGGCAAGCTAAAAGGGAGAAAAAGAAAGATGCTGTCAGAGAGGGAAAGGAGATAGGGAGAGAAAAAGAAAGGGAGGCACATTAGTAATACATGGGATCACTTCGGATGAGACAGTGTGGAAAGCTGGACTTTGAATTTCCTGATATCCTGGCATGTCTTAATGCTAGTAGGCAGGTTAGACCAAAGGGAGTATGCTGAGAAGAAAGGGGATTTCAAAAACAGAGAGGAACTAGCTCGGGGCAGTGATAAGGCATTGCGTGTTGGTCTAGTGGTAACAAACCAGTTGTACTTGGCAATATGTTTCGGGACTTGGGCTAGGAAGATTTTTTGCACAAGGATACAAAGATGCTGCTGATGTCGGGCAAGAAGAGGGTGCGTGGAAGCAAGTTTATAAAGACAAAGGGAGGCAAATGTTTGGTCTTTTCGAAACAGAATTTTCAGAAGCAAGCGTTGATGTACTTCCAGTCTGTGGAGTAAAGTCTGAGACAACCCGCACCAAGCTATATCGCAATAGTCAAATATAGGCAAAATGTACGACTTAAAGAACAATTTTCTGCAGTTATCATTCAAGTGTTGGCAGTGGGGTTGTAGCATACCTAAGGACGCACTCGCACGCTTGCACACAGACTGGACTTGTGGAGACCAGGAGAGTTGGCGGTCGAGAATAACGCCCAGGTGCTTGTGCTCGTTAACAACTTTAATAGGTGTACTATTTAGACCAGGAAAATACAGAAGCTGAGTGGGGGGCGAGGGAGAGAAGAACATGGCCTCGGTTTTGGCGAGGTTAGGCTTCAGTTTCCAGGTTTCCATCCATGTTACTGTAGCGTTGACCCCGGACTGCATGGAGGCCGTGAGGTTGTCTGCCGAGCTGTCGGAGCACATCAGAGCAGTGTCGTCAGCAAAAAGACTTACATTTGGTACAAGGGCTGGCAAGTCATTAACGTACAGTAGAAATAGGAGCGGCCCAAGTATGGACCCCTGGGGTACCCCAGACACGACTAGTAATGGGTCTGATAGGGAGGTAGATACTCTGACAGTCTGGTGGCGGCAGGAAAGATAGGATGAGAGCCATTGCAGGGCTGGACCATGTACCAAGAAGACGGACTCTAGCTTTGCAAGCAGACCACGATGCCAGACGGTGTCGAAAGCTTTCGCTAGGTCAAAGAACACGATGCCAACATGCCGCCTGAGGTTCCGCTGGGTGTAGATGTCTTGTACTAGACGTGTTAGTTGGAAAGTTGTGGAGTCTCCACGGCAGAAACCGGATTGAGATGGTGAAAGCGCTGGGGTGACGTGGCAGTACAGAGACTCAAAGAAAATACGTTCACAGACCTTTGACACAGCGGGAAGGAGAGAGATTGGTCTGTAGTTGCCAGCCTGAGAGCGTTGGCCTTTCTTATAGATCGGGACGATAACAGCAGATTTCCAGACGGACGGAAATACTCCTGTACGATATGACATGTTAAAGAGCAGGCACAAGGGATAGGACAGAGATGGCGCAAGCCATTTGAGAACCTCATTGGGTATGCCATCTTCGCCAGGGGACTTACAATTCTTCAGGAGTTTGAGGTGCTTACAGACGGTAGCAGTCGTGGTAACGACGCGTGTGAGTGTTGCGCTAAGTTCAGGGGCTGGGGACAGCGATGGAATGTCCCAATTCGGATCCTCCGGAATGCCGGATGAAACAAACTGCTTGTTCAGTGTGTCTGCAATCGCCTTCACATCGTGCTGGCGGTTGCCATTGGAGTCCGTCAGGTACTGGATTGGCGCGCGGGAGGTCCCGCGGCACTGGTTGCGAATGAATTGGTGGAGTGATGGGCGATCGGGGGAGGAGAGTGTTGCAGAAAGAGAGTTTAGAAAGGAGCGGTGTGAGGTACGAGAAAGGTGCTTGACGAAGTTGCGTTGAACTCGGTAAGCCTCCCGGTTAACCGGCGTTGGGAATTTCTTGTAGATGCTGAAAAGATCACGCTTGCGCTTCACTTCAGATACGAGGGACCGTGTCACCCATGGGGGACTAGATGTCGAGGATGTTGGGTTGGAATGTTTCCGGTTGTTGTAGCCGATAGCAAAGTTAGAGAGGTGCTGTTGGAACCCTCGTTCAAGGACGGCTGCAAAGTGATCTACCGCGGCGTCAACAGTTGGAGAGCCTTCTGGTTGCAGAAACGACCAGTCGTGGCAGGAGAAATCAGCGTTCATAGAGTCCCAGCACTGAGAGGGAACTCGACGGAAGCGATATGGGAACGGTTTGCGAGAAGGAAGTGGCAGGTCTGGGTCCGAGGGCAATGAGACGGCAAACTGGCATGAAACCATGAGATGGTCCGAGGAGCCAAGAGCGCAAGCTGTGTGAACGTCCGTCGCCAGCAGGGGTTGGTTTGTGAAGACAAGGTCTAGACATGACTGTGTTCTGGAAGATGTTGTGTGCGTTGGACTCTGCACCAGCTGATCCAAACCGAAGCAGGTAAGGGTGCGAAAAAGTGCCGCCCCAGCAGGACACGTTAAATCCGATGGGCACCACCGTTTGTGCTTACTGTTGAAGTCCCCAGCCATTATGACATGGTACGATGACATGGGAACGGTTACCAAAGCACTAGCTAGCATATCACAGAAGTGGTCTATTTCCGTGGTTTTGACTGAGGGCGGACGGTAGGTACAGCAGACGAGGATGGGTGTCGGGGAGCCTAAGATTGGGTGAAGCTCAACCCATACGGATTCACAGGTCGGACGAGCAAGGTCGTCGCGAACTTGGACTCTTCCGAAGCGATTTTGCCGGACAAGAATCGCAACTCCACCATATCCTCTGGTTGCCGTACCGGATTTGTTATCATGAGGTGGTCGGTCGCGACGAAATGTGGTATAACCGGAGATGGTGAGCGCTATGCTTGGATTTAGCCATGTTTCATTTAGACAGATGACATCAGGTTTGTTGAAATCAGCAATGACAGACAGTTCGGCAGATTTGTTAACGATTGAGCGGCAATTTACGGAAAGCAAGGTCAGTTTACCCTGGCAAGGGGGGAAGTAGGGCCGAGCCAGTGGATTCAGCTGTGGTCGCGCCATCATGCTGAGCCTGAGGAGAGGACGTTGTTTGCCTGGTTGGCATTGCTGGTGTCAAAACTGTCCGCGGCAAAACGCCAGGGCCTAACCGTGTGCGAAAGAGCATCCGGCCAGAACCCTTTGTCACCGACTGTGTTCTCATCAGCTGCCTCGACGGTCACCCGTGCGTAGGCAGTTCTGAAGTGCTTGGATGCAAATATGACACCTTCCTATCATGGGTTTCAAGTGCACATTTATTCTTACAAGCAATTTTATCGGACAGTAGAATATATCGGTCCTAAGAATGGGAATTTGGGAAAAAGTGGCCCGGTCGGCCAACCGGAAACAAGGTCATTATTTGTTTTGGCCTAATTTATTCTGTCTAATGCAGTTCTGATCCGACTCGCGTTGGGTCGTAGACTACGTACTTAGTGCTGCAGGTTCAACTGTTGTGCCGGCCTTTGTGGTCATGTAACTCATGTTGCATAGCCACATGGTAAGCCTATGGGACTATGACGAGCCGCATGCACACTAACACTACATTGCATGTATGATGATCTTCCTGACTCTGCGCACATGCACATGATATGTCACACTTGCTTTATCGTGTGTGAGAAATATCGGAAATAAGTATAGAAAGTCGTTTTTCAAACACCCACGCTATAACCCATACCTACTGTACTTGTATGTTACGTACCTTGGCTTACAGCTTAGTGCTCTGGCAAGCAACTGCCCATCCATGCATACAGAAACAACCACCGGGGGGGGGGGCTGGCATGCCTACAGAAACAACCAGCTGGGAACAGGTATACAGAAGCAACCACTCCGGGGCCATGCACAAATATACAACCACTCCAGGGTCCATGCATATTATAGAATCAATCACCAGGGGTCATGCATACAGCGACAACCAAACCATGCGCCATCCACACGTACAGAAACAACCACCCCGTGCTCACCGAAAGGGGCCATGTCCGGTACAATATGTTTTGAAACAGGTCTAAAAACACAGTGCAATGCAGTTGGGTGTTTGAGAGGACCAGCCGTAATACAGCAAGATGATGTCTTGTTGCAATTGACGCATACATGATACATGTACATCTTTGTTTCTCTGTATTATGACCCCAGTGTTTATGGGTGTGCAATTATCATACTGCCCTTGCAGATCCAGCAGCCGGACCGCCGGATGAGAACACAGCTTATCGGATTGGATCGATTAGCAAGGTGTTCACCACCATGCAAGCACTGCGGATGCGGGACGAAGACGGTCTGGACCTGGACAGCGAGTTAGCACACCTCCTACCCGGCTTTGGTGTTGTGAACCCGTTCCAGACCGGGCGCGGTATTACACTGCGGCAGCTGGCCAGCCACATGGCCGGCCTGTCCAGGGAAGCACCGTGTGCAGACATGTACAATAGTGACTGTGCAACACCAGAGTCTGTGAGTGTGTTGATGCGAGTGTCGATGCGAGTGTTGATGTGAGTGTTGATGCGAGTGTTGATGCAACACCAGAGTCTGTGAGTGTGTTGATGCGAGTGTCGATGCGAGTGTTGATGTGAGTGTTGATGCGAGTGTTGATGCAACACCAGAGTCTGTGAGTGTGTTGATGCGAGTGTCGATGCGAGTGTTGATGTGAGTGTTGATGCGAGTGTTGATGCAACACCAGAGTCTGTGAGTGTGTTGATGGGAGTGTTGATGCGAGTGTTGATGCAACACCAGAGTCTGTGAGTGTGTTGATGCGAGTGTTGATGCGAGTGTTGATGGGAGTGTTGATGGGAGTGTTGATGCGAGAGTTGGTGTGAGTGTTGATGCGAGTGTTGATGCACATATGTACAACATCATGTACATTCATGTGCTACATGTACTGATAACTAATGATAATTGTTATTATTACTCATCTCTATATGTATGCAGGTGCCATGTACAGCCTGCTCTCTCTCTCTCTCTCTCTCTCTCTCTCTCTCTCTCTCTCTCTCTCTCTCTCTCTCTCTCTTTCTCTCTCTCTCTTGCTCTCACTCTCTCTCTCTCTCTCTCTCTCTCTCTCTCTCTCTCTTTCACTCTCTCTTCCCTGCATTCTTGACAGATGATACTTGAGCGACTCCGTAGCTTGCCGCTAGTCAGGCCGCCTGGTTTAAAGCCCTCCTACTCGAACCTAGGGTTTGCCTTGCTGGGTGTCGCCGAAGCTCACATCACAAACCGCTCCTGGGTGGACCTGGTTGACACCATGTCTTTGGACCTGGGGCTTAAGAACACGCACGCATCCATACCAGCACGGCCAGCTGATAACATAGCTGAGGGCTACATGGCAGATGGAAGCCTTGCCAGTGAGTGGCCGTATGTACAATTATGTAATCTACTCGTCACACAACAGATAGGATAGTGCACGTGCGCGCATGTCCATGTGTTATTAACTTAATATCAATGATCTGCTGACATTTCTTTCTAAAGCACAGACTGGCCAACGAAGTTCAACCGTGTTCTGCCGGCCAGGTCAGATCCAGAGCCATAATTGTGTTCACCATGACATGTACCAGTGGATGCCGAGCTGGAGGTCACCTGGTGACCGGCCTTGGACTGTTTCATTCATTCCTTCTTTATTCACAAGCATGCCACCTTTGGATTGCCTGCAACCACAGGGTGGGTCGACATTGGGTTTGAAGCACCTGCTGGTCAAATGTTCAGCTCCACGCATGACTTAGCGCAGCTGATCAAAATGGTTTTTCGCACATCTGCCACAAGAAATCCTGCAGCAGGCCAGGTAAGCAAGCACACTCATTGCCGCTGTCATAGTTACTTTAAACTCAGCTACATTGTACTCATGTATCTCACAACAACAGTAATGAGTATTTTAAATGTGTTCCTAACACAGGTTGCATTTGATTGGCTTATGCCGGAATGAAGATAGAAAGGGGCCGTAATTATTGGCAGAAACTGTGAATGCCGGTCACTGAGAATGATTCTGTGAAGTCGGCTGCAGAGAAAATACTTCTGTGCTGGTGTATCCATGTATCATGATAAGGAAAGCCCTGGCAAAGACGATACGATGGCCACAAGAGCGCTGAGAGACACGGAACGTGATACTAACGTGCGTGGTATAGCTAACCTCTTTCAACAAAGAGAGCAAAGGCAAGACCATGATTACACAGCGACCCACGTGTGATTGTACAGTTTGTCTGAGGATCTCATGCACGGACATCATGAAGTCATGTTGAGGCTATTGCCCATTCC